AAGTTGCTCAAAAGTTGCTCGAAAAAGCAAATTAAATTTTTTTGGGTCTGATGCTAAAATATGCAAATTGTAAGGTTTCTAAGCATTTTTGTGCAATTTTGCAGCGTAACCAGCGTTGCTAAATAACTTTTTCCTCAATTAAAACCAAAAAATGAAATGATCCAATAAAACTATTAAATGACTTTCTCCACCTGAGAAACCCAAGTCAGTCCAGTCAGTAGAGTATGAATCTTCGTTCACCATTTTGAATTTTCTCTAAAAACAGCTGACGTGGCAGCTCGGCTACTTTTATCTTGCGCCCATGATTTGGCTCCTTTTTTACAGGAAATTCATAAATTGTCTACTAAAACATTGTGAAATATGGAAGAAAGGCCAATTAAAGCACTAAAAGCTGCTCTGACAAATCAGAATTAGAAGAAAACTAGAGAAATTGCTCAAAATGCAAACAGTTGCTTGAAAGGCAAAAAGTTTCTCGAAATACGAAAAGTTGCCAAAAAGTTGCCGAGCAACTAGTGGAAAGCCCTATGCGCATTACCCTGATTCGATCCGTCAATCAAGGTCAACTAGATGATGCAAATTATTTCCAAAGTACGGTGTTATTTGGCGTTCGGCGAGGGAATAAATTGAGGAGTTCGAAGCGGGTTTTATCACTGAGCTGGCGATTCAACTCTTTCTCAATGGTACTACATTTTAAGGCCAAGAGATTTTATACGGGTCTCAATGAGCGGAAATTTTCATAGAGAGACACAAGTAAACACAAGGTAACATTTGGCGTCCGTGCGTTTGAGTCCATATATTTATTCACAATTTTATCTATCAAATACTTAAGGGTATAATACGTTTGCAGAAATTTAATCGTGTAAAAAATCAACAAGCAATACGTTAATTGTAAATAAATCGTTTCCCTCCCTTATATGACTCACTAGATGCGATTTAACCCTGCAAATGCTACTTTGTCAAATGTTAGTTTGTCAATCATCGAGTCCCACTGAGAAGCCTCTTAATCTCTGTAGTTCTATTCACACTATAGATTCATTTGTAACCAAAATAAATGATATTTGTAGATGACTGTATTCTGATTAATGCCCGCTACAAAACATATCGTTAATATGGTTGTATTGATCACACGTACTTGGAGATATACTTGGTCACTGACTTGCTGAAAGAGCACCTGAAACCTTAATTTAGTCACTTATTTTGCAACGTCAGAAATTACAACTTATCACGTCACTTTCAGCCCCCTGCATTTAGCGCTACTCTATAAATACTAACCAATTTGAGAAGCCATCCATTCTAGTATTCAATTTGATTAAAAAGGATTCTGAATTACGTGAAGGTGAAAATTAAGTACGCGCGCTTGCTTACTTGACGAGGGAGCTGGCTTTAAAAACAGTTTTTATCTATAGTTCCTTTATTTTCCCACGGGACCACTGTGTCATTGTGAAGGAGGTGGTCACGTCTTGAAAACTGCTTAGGTTCAGCGTAATCTTATTCTACTGCGCTGCTAAGCTTGAGCACATTCTATTTTTGGCTCCACTGAGCAACTGCTCCGTTGATATGAAACTGAAGGAATGACTTTTTGAGGTTATATAAAGGGCAATTCCGCATCGGGCCGTGGGGTTGCACTGAGCTTACTGCCAGTAAGGTGGAAATAACAAAATGCGCACAAATACCTCAGTTAAATGGCGAGTACCTTCCTTATCATTACATGAGTTTTACGTTGAATAGACCTTTACACGGGTTTTTTCAAATTTGGATAAAAAGACGAATAATCATTGACACCGCTGGAAAGACATCTGGAAAGAGCACCTTAAAACTGGGAAACCGTGATACCTTGAATGCGAGCGAAGATATATTGCTTCACAAAGTCACTAAATTTTACAGACTCTTGTTTGGTGAGTCGAGGGGGGCGTGGGTAGGTTGGTACGAGCTTGGTCCCCCACCATACAAACGTCTCTAAAATTCGGCGACTTTTTGGGGCTGAATATTCGTTCGTTTTCAACAAATCACGTCCAAACTTGGAATCTTTGCTAATTTTAAGGCTATAGCTTTCTTTTGACCCGTTTTCACGAATTTTCCCCAACTGGTCCAATGGAAAGGTCTATTAAATATAACTCTTGTTACCTAATTGTCTTTAACATACAGAACATGTGTAAAAGACTCAGGGAAAGACTCATTCTTTTACCCGGGACTGATTTGCCGTTAAATCTGTGCAGTAACTGAGCTGTTACCATGTTCAGCCATTTGAAGGGTTAATTATTATTAATATTGCCTGCTCTAGTAACTGAGATTTCATTTCATGCATGATTTCAAGGAAAAATGATTATTAAAATTGGTTTTTCAAAAATGGCTTCCCAATCCATGGTTATGATAGAACAGTATGATAATCTATGATTACGGTGATTAGTTTTTCAAGATCTTCATACACTGACGTGCTCGCCTCTTTTTTCATTTAAACATGATCAGGTCATTTATGTTGTACATCTCAGCTCAACAGGGCCAAACTGAAAGCGTTAGTTTTATGAGGTTTCAGACGTTATATTGAGATAATACCTTTACGTCTGAAACATGAGTGGGCACTTGAAAACTGCTTACGCTCAACGTAATCTTATCCGATTGCTAATAGCCCAAATATGCGTTAGATAAGATATTATTACAAGTGTATACAGCTGAAGGAGCTTCTACAAAAGAAGTGCTCATTGACAAAAGAGCTTGTTGCTATGCCATCTTCCCAAAACGGAAGTTTATTCCAGTCTATGCTGGCCTCCCACACGTGAGACTAAATAATGTAACCTGTAACATTTATTTCATAGGTCAGTTACCTACAGATATACGTTGGGCCGAGTGAGTAACAAAGTGAAAGGTCAAGGATGGTTTCTAAAGAAATGAGACGACATTTTTTCGGCTAAATGACCTTGGAGAACTTTTTAGGAAAAAATTGACAAAAAAAGTGCCAGGTCACTTCCTTTTTGTCGCTTGACTGGGTAACTGAGTGTTGAAATGGGTCAACTTACTTAAACATTTTTTTAAAAAAATTAGCTTACCGAACGATCACAATGAAAACAACTGCTACAAATCAGTTGTCAAAGAACAAAAGAGAAATAAGAAAAGCCTGAAATGAAGGAGGGTGCCTCTTTAGCTTCTAAACGTTTACCAACCGAAAATCATAAGCCATTTATATTTGACTGAAAAGAAGATCGAAGGACAAGTTTCAGGCACCCAATATAAGACCGAAAATACAACTGCGAAAGGAAAAGTTGGAGAAAATACCTCTTATCTTTGCTAACTTGGAGAAAAACAAAACATTTAATTAATTATCACTTTTTTTAATTCACTCCTATAGCTACTTTATTTGCTGGCGTTTAGTTTCACTTTGGTACCTAACATGTTTGCTAAAAATCAGGCTCACAGTCTCAATCAAATACCTGTATTTCAGTTTCCAGCGTAGTTTACTCGAGCGTTACGCAATGCCAGTTGAATGCAATATATGACAACAACATTTATCATATTACAAAAAGTTTTAGATTTTCGCAGCCTCGACAATTGCGTTTTTCAGGCGTAGTTAATCGATAGACCGATAATCGATGAAAATCTTTAGTAATCGTTATTAATCTTCGTCGGGTATCATTTTCCGATAGAAATCTTCCATGACTGATTTATCAATTTTTATCGATTACTATCGATTATTATGGGAAAAGTATCCTGAAGTATGTCAATCGATAGGAGTTCTACATTAACGACGATGTTCTTGTCCATACGGTATTATTGAGTCGTTCTTTCGTGATAGTATGCAGTTCTTTAATTGATAGAATACTTAAAAAGAACAAAATCAGTGTTCTTGTGATTTCAATGTGACGCTTTTTAAAAGAAAGGAATGTAAGAATAAATCGTAAAGTAAACAAGAAATAAAAATTCAGCAGCACAGCAGTGATACTTTTTAGCCAGGTTATAACTTATGTTGCCTAATATTCAAAAAATGTGGTTTTGTTTCCTATGAAACATCTCCAAACTATTTATGACTTGCCAAAGTTTGCGTTTTTACCGGAAGTTGACTCCATTGACCGAGAGAGGATCTGGGTCGGTTACTAAGAAAAAACACAAGTCCTCAATTTGCGGACAGCGGTTTTCCTCTGGAAGTGTGCGAACTAAACAAGATGGCGACATATTCTTCTGGTATGGCTGTCAAAGAAGAATCCAAAGAAGCCGCACGAAATGGGTAGGTTAATCTATTTTTGAGCTTTTTGCGCTAAAAAATACTTTTCCTTGTAATGAAGTTCGTGATTTTTTTCAGTTTCAACGTTCCCTTCCTGGGCTTAAACGAAAAAAATGCCTGCCTGCGCTTCTGACTACAAACGCTTTTGAGTGCCCGACCCCAGGGGGTCATCTTTTTGGCCTAAACTGGTATGTGCATCTGAACAAGATATAATTTTCAGGGTCTTGAGTCTTAAACTGGGAACATAATTTTATTTCACTTTTTGGAGTCTTGAACAGGCCGTATCATTTTTGGGCCGAAAGCCTTTAAAAGAGTGTGAAGGTTGGCTGTAAGAGGTCTTCAGTATATACTTTCTTCATTTGTGATACCAAGACCTTTTTCACAAAAAAAATTCATGATGGCAATATAAAACGTTATTTAATTTTGCCATACGAAAAGACATGAATCCGGGTCATGAAATAAGGAGTCTTGACTTAAAAGAGTCGCGAAATGAACGATTTCTTTTGATGTCTTAATCAGGGTTAGGACTTGATGGCCTCGGTGGTACATTAACATCCCTTGAATGTCCCCCAGGGCATCACCACATCGAAATACTTCCTTTTTTCCCAGTAATTTTGAGAGAACTAAAATTTGTTTGAACAAGAATAATCACAACGCCATATCTTTTTACTTATCAAGGAAATTTTATTGACAACCAAACGAAATTCAAGAAAAGATTAACTTGGTATCAGTTCATCCCATTTGCTTTACTTCTTTGCGTTTTCTTTGCTCTCCGATCAGTAATGTTCTAACCGCGACGACGGCAAGAGGCATACTTAAGTACAACATGTGTGGGCCTATAACAGCACTTATGGGTCCGTGGGTTGTAGTAGGCAAAACCGCATCTCAGTCGAAGACGGCAGGGGACAAACTTGGAGATCACTCTACGGTTGCAGCACTTTTGGGTCCGTGGGTTGTAGAAGGCAAAACCGCATCTCAGTCGAGGACGGCAGGGGACAAACTTGGAGATCACTCTACGGTTACAGCACTTTTGGGTCCGTGGGTTGTAGTAGGCTAAACCGCATCTCAGTCGAGGACGGCAGGGGACAAACCTGGAGATCACTCTAAGGTTACAGCACTTTTGGGTCCGTGGGTTGTAGTAGGCTAAACCGCATCTCAGTAGAGGACGGCAGGGGACAAACCTGGAGATCACTCTACGGTTACAGCACTTTTGGGTCCGTGGGTTGTAGTAGGCTAAACCACATCTCAGTCGAGGACGGCAGGGGACAAACCTGGAGATCACTCTACGGTTACAGCACTTTTGGGTCCGTGGGTTGTAGTAGGCTAAACCACATCTCAGTCGAGGACGGCAGGGGAGAAACTTGGAGATCACTCTACGGTTACAGCACTTTTGGGTCCGTGGGTTGTAGTAGGCTAAACCACATCTCAGTCGAGGACGGCAGGGGACAAACCTGGAGATCACTCTACGGTTACAGCACTTTTGGGTCCGTGGGTTGTAGTAGGAAAAACCGCATCTCAGTCGAGGACGGCAGGGGACAAACCTGGAGATAACTCTACGGTTACAGCACTTTTGGGTCCGTGGGTTGTAGTAGGCAAAACCGCATCTCAGTCGAGGACGGCAGGGGACAAACTTGGAGATGACTCTACGGTTACAGCACTTTTGGGTCCGTGGGTTGTAGTAGGCAAAACCGCATCTCAGTCGAGGACGGCAGGGGACAAACCTGGAGATAACTCTACGGTTACAGCACTTTTGGGTCCGTGGGTTGTAGTAGGCAAAACCGCATCTCAGTCGAGGACGGCAAGGGAGAAACCTGGAGATCACTCTACGGTTACAGCACTTTTGGGTCCGTGGGTTGTAGTAGGCAAAACCGCATCTCAGTCGAGGACGGCAGGGGGCAAACCTGGATATTTTACGTCCGAAACAGCACTTTTGGGTGATTCGGTTGTATATACCACAGCGCGACGCAACCGGCGTGTTGCTTTTTAGCAGATCTTCATCAGCTTCCTCGCTGGATTCTGTGAAGAAATAGGGTCAATTGAAAAAAGCAAAATTCGAAAGCAGTTAATTTTTTGCACCACTTAGTACATGTAGATAGCCGGTGGTAGCAACAAAAAAGATTAAAGTCGAAGGCAAAACATGATGTCGTTTGTAGTAGGAAAGAGTATTGGCTATACAATCTGGCTCTTCTAGTCACTATATATACTGAATAAAGATTTTTTTTCAAAATTGAAACTTAACAGCAAATTCAACTGACTTGGCCGAATCTTATCTCATAATTGAAATGTTTGAACCATATACCATGTAAGGTCATGACAACTCTTTAGTATAAACAGAGAGTAAATAAAAGCCGTTGATTTAAGTTACCGTTCCTCAAATAATAGCCCGCCTTCGATTAATCGCCTCCCTCAGTCGAATAATCGCCCCCCTTGAACGGAGATATTTAAAATAAGCGCCTCCCTCGAAAAATCGCCCTCCCCCCTGTCAAGTGTAAGTGCAATGGGATCCAGCAAAACTGATCAGTGACGATTCAAGCTATGAAATTTAATCAAGGAACTAAATTTGGAACACCTAAAAAGCCTATGTTCAGTTATATATTAATTTGATGTGATTATTTTCTGATTTAATGGCATGATAAAAAAATATTTAGGGCACGATTTCCAGTGAGCAATATTTGAAATAATCACCTCCCTCAAATAATCGCCTTCCGTCGAATTTGTGCGGAAAAAGAAATAATGGCCCCGGCTATTATTTGAGGAAATATGGTACCCACAAAATGTACCTCAAGGGAAGTACGTTAGGTTATGAAGCGTACTGAGGACAACTACTCTTCTGACCTTTACCCATGAGCGCGCTGTTTTCGTCATCAGAGTCAGCAGCTTGTTCTTCCGCATAATCTTCTTCATCCTGTCCTGCTTCTTCCTCCTCTTCTTGGTCATAAACTTCTTCATCTTCATCCTGGGCTTCTGTGAATGGGTCATCGGTAAACAGGTAATAAAATCATGAGAGAGCTATTTCAACTCAGAAAAATGAATGCACACATTAATAAGGCATGACATCTCGTCAGTGTATAAGTATATATCAGCAAACTGAGAGTAAATAAAAGCCATTATTGTTTTCTTTGATTTGAGTTACCCACAAAATGTACGGCAAGGTATGTACGGTAGGTAATGAAGCGTACTGAGTACAACTACTCTTCTAACCTACCCATGAGAGAGCTGTTTTCGTCATCAGCGTCAGCAGCTTGTTCTTCCGCATAATCTTTTTCATCCTGTCCTGCTTCTTCCTCCTTTTCTTCGTCATAAACTTCTTCATCTTCATCCTGGGCTTCTGTAAATGGGTCATCGGTAAACAGGTAATAAAATCATAAGAGAGCTATTTCAACTCAGGAAAATGAATGCACACATTGATAACGCATGACATCTCGTCAGTGTATAAGTATATATGAGCAAACTGAGAGTAAATAAAAGCCATTATTGTTTTCTTTGATTTGAGTTACCCACAAAATGTACGGCAAGGTATGTACGGTAAGTAATGAAACGTACTGAGGACAACTACTCTTCTAACCTACCCATGAGAGGGCTGTTTTCGTCATCAGCGTCAGCAGCTTGTTCTTCCTCATAATCTTTTTCATCCTGTCCTGCTTCTTCCTCCTTTTTTTCGTCATAAACTTCTTCATCTTCATCCTGGGCTTCTGTAAATGGGTCATCGGTAAACAGGTAATAAAATCATGAGAGAGCTATTTCAACTCAGAAAAATGAATGCACACATTAATAAGGCATGACATCTCGTCAGTGTATAAGTATATATCAGCAAACTGAGAGTAAATAAAAGCCATTATTGTTTTCTTTGATTTGAGTTACCCACAAAATGTACGGCAAGGTATGTACGGTAGGTAATGAAGCGTACTGAGTACAACTACTCTTCTAACCTACCCATGAGAGGGCTGTTTTCGTCATCAGCGTCAGCAGCTTGTTCTTCCGCATAATCTTTTTCATCCTGTCCTGCTTCTTCCTCCTCGTCTTCGTCATAAACTTCTTCATCTTCATCCTCGGGTTCTATAAATAGGTCATCAGTAAACAGTGAATAAAATAATAAGAGAGCTATTTAAACTCCGAAAAATGTACGCATTAATAAGGGAAGCCCTCCCGAATCAAGCCTGTTAAACTTCTTCAGTGTATGTGCAGCTTTTGCTCAAATTCCTGCTCAAAACTTCAAACCTAAAATTGGAGGAATAAGAGTGGTTCACTAGAGGCATAGAGGAGTCTTTTATGTTCTACAATCGCAACCATCTTTTAATCGAGAAGGGGCAGATACCATGTAATTATTGGGGATCCGGAACAATGTCCTGGGGTCACTGCGCAAGCGCAGTGACTTCACGCACTAAGGAAGTTTTAATTTAGTGGGAACAAATGGAAGTTAAGAATACTGTACTTTTGCTCAACTAATACCTGTGAGTAAGTTGTTTTCCTCGTCAGAGTCAGCATTTTCCTCGCCAGCTGCTTCTTCGTTGAATTGATCTTGTTGTGTTTCCCAATTTTCCTCGTCCGTTTCTGAATGATAGAAAGTAATTAAAACAAAAATTCAACTAACTGAATAATTGATTAGTCAATGAACTGATCATACGGGAAAAAAACCACCTCAACAAGTAGATTTATTGAATTTGTACTGAACTATTTAAGAGTGATTGAACTTTTGTTCTCACGGTTTAATTTTATAAGTCCCATGCAGAGGCCACATTAGCTAGTCCAATAAAGGACTTTTTTCTGTTTGGAAAATTAAAAGCCCACACGAAGACGCTAGCCAAACTTTGTGAACATTTTGGTTGCATTTTTCGATGGAAAAGTCACTTGCTTCTTAGTTGTTATTCATGCTTATTGTCTGGGCTATTTGACCAAAGAATGTTTGCGATGTGTAATTTCTCCGTCAGAGAAAGCAGTATTCGTTTTCTTTGAATGTTCAATCTAAACTATAATAAAACCGTCACGTAACTAAGAGGACACCGGGAATTAATATGACTAGAAGACCAGGTTGATAATACAGCAGAAGTGAATTGCAGTGCCTGCAAGTGTGAGAAAATATCTAACAAAACGTTGTACTGAAATGGTCAAGTTCGTAAGGTTATACCTTTGTCCTCTTGCGTGGGGATCCTTTCATCTTCCCTGTCATCTTCTACAGGATTTTCAGCTACAACTTCAGCATTATTGATCCCAAGGAGAGTGTTTTCATGAGGTGCAACACTCTCCTCATCCAATGTTTCTGCTTTTATAACAGCAAAAACCGCGAGAAGAACGAGTATAATTCCTCGAGTAACACCCTTCATGCTGGCTGCCAGCTATAATGCCGTTTCTGTTTGTGAAACAGGCCTTTTCTAACAAAGGAAAGCGGAAGCAAATTCCAAATTACTAGTTGAATTGTCCTTTTTAAAGTGTAATTGCCTCTCAGGTAACGTGAGCAACTACTTATGAGGCTTACAGCAGATATCAAGTGTGAAAAGAGTGCTTACTTAAATGGTCAATATATGGGAGGATGAATGATCACAGTTTGTATTCAAGAAGACGGACTGGCCGTTTTTCATTTTTTTCTTCTTTAACCTGTATGAAGGAAAGACCCTACTTCTACTAAAGTTATCAAAAAGTTCAAAAAACTTTGGCAGCATTCCACAATTACATGTAAATAGAAAAGGAAACGTTAATTGTAACAATATTGATTCCCTATCCTTCCTTCATATGAATCAGTTGATGCGATTTAACCTTCATAAAATTTTTTGCAGTAGAATCATTGAGAAGCGTCTTATATCTCAAATGTTAAAATGTTCATAAACCTTATCTACTTGCACTATTGATTCAGTTGTACAGGGCAGATAAAATTGTCATCAAAGTAAAAGATATTTGTGGCCGGATGACTGTATTCGTATACCTAAAACTAAAAGGAAATAGTCAATGCCCGCTACACAGGAAAGCATAAAATATATCGTTAATATTGTTTTATTCTTAACTCGTCCTTGTTATTTTACTGTACTTATAGAAATATATTTGGTCATCGATTTGCTGCAAGGGCACCTGAAACCTTAATTTAGTCACGTATTTGGAACGTTAGAAATTATATCTTATCATTGTTCTTTCAGCTCCCCGCCTTTAGCGCTACTCAATAAATGTTAACTAATTTGAGAAGGCATCCATTATAGCATTCAATTAAATTAATGAAGGACTGTGATTTACGTGAGGGTGAAAATTAAGTGCGCTCGCGCTTGACGAGTGAGATGGTTCTCTCACTCTTAGTTCCGGCCCGTTTCCCACGGGACCATTGCGTCATTGGGACGGCTGAATAGAGACATTTTTATATTATAGGATGTGTCACGGCTGGCTTGTTCATTTTTTTTATAATGCCAATTACGTGTCCATATTCGCTATGGAGATTAAGAGATAATATGTAAATGACAAAATCACAGCTTTGCATCAAACAAATATGTCTCCCAAGCATTAAATCATACGTTTCCAATGAACAAAAATGAATTATTGAAAAACTGTTCGGCTAACAAGATTTCAAAAACCCCTATCGCAATCCGTTTCAATCTTCATCGAGTTTGTCCATCCCTGTCTTCTTTTATATTTACTTCGCTGTTTATAAATTCCTTTAATTTTTTGAGTGGTTGTCTTACGTTTTACTCAACTTGGTGGCAGGTTCCTGCACTCTTTTAATTTTGATATTAAGTTTCTTGACACAGCTTCTTTAACATTCCCCGCATAAATCAACCGCCATATGCGTTTTACAATATTTCGTAAAACCTCTAACTTCTAACATTTTTCTATATCTGTGAAAACTTTGAGAACATCTTCAGCGATGATATGTAACTGACGGAGTGCCAAATTGTGTTTGGGGACATTTCTCGGTGGGCCATTGGGGTTCATTTCAGGGGCTGCCCCACAGCGTTTATTGTGGCTCTGTCAGTCAGCTAAAATAATGAAATGCGCACAATACCTTATCAACGGTACGTAATCATTAGTTCTCAGTTAAAATTATACTGAACATTTTTTACCTTAATCGTGAGAAAGCTCTTTAACATACAGGCAGAAGACGTGTAAAAGACTCATTTTTGACTGGTATAATTGGTCGTTAAATATAGCTGCTAGATGTTTTTGTTATTACTCTGTTCGTAACTGAAGGCATTTTTATTCTATTAAGCCGTTAGCATGTTTAGTCTTTTTGAGGGTTTTCTTGTAATATTTGCCTGCTCAAGTAACTGAGAAGTTATTTCATGCACGATTTCAAGGAAGAAACTATTATAAAAATTGTTTTTTAATAATGGTTTCCCAATCTATGGCTATAGAAGTAGGATGATCTATGATCACCGTGTTTTTTGTCTCTATACATTAAGTGTAAACAGCCCTTTATAACATAGCGCGCGTGCTTGCCCTATATAAGTCCTATTGAGCCGCTATGAACTAACCTGAGATCAGGCCCAATTTGAGCGGTTCTCATACATTCTCTATAACGGCTACCGCTGAAATTGGGCCTGATACAAACAATCACAAGTTTGTGCTCGTTACGGCCAGATTTTGGCCGTAACGCTGATTGGCTGTTAGAACAATGCCACAAGATCTGATTGGCTGTCGGAAACGCCGGAAGTTGAAAGCGCTTTTTCCTCGCGTGGTTGTTTTCGTGAATGATCCTTCGTCGGTGGAGAGAAGGATGGATTTTGCTGTCTTTTTCATTGTTTTATGGTCTTATGGTGGGAAAATATGCCTTAATATGTGCCATGAAAATTCAGAAAATTCATGTGGTTGTTCATATCTTCTCAGGATTTGCTTAATTTACGGAAAGTGAGTGTATCGCGAAGTTGAATCCCTCTGCAAGTTGTTGACCGCTAACAAGGTGCATTTTGATTTACCAACAAACGTTGAGGTGCAAATCAAAATACTGTCCATCTTAAAACTGGTTTCATTTGAAAGTTTAGCCGGGAATGACTTCTCTGAACGGGGTGCGCAGGCGGAGGCTCACTGCGAAAGAAACCTCAATCGCCAACTGTGAAGTATTAGACGAAAAATATCGCATCGTTGTTCAAGGAATTTTCAGTGTTGACAGACTGGTTGTTTGACTACGCTTTCTGTTAAAAGTAAACCAAGAAAACTGGTGCCCTCGCTCGTTGGCTGTTTGCTTTTGTTTTTAAAGATTTATGTACTGAAAATCGGGGAAAATTGCCGAGGAAAATATCAAGACAACGGAAAAATAGAGATTTCAGTATTTTAAATTCCAGAGCGCCTAGCCAAAATAATAAAACTAGTAGAACATCGTGTCGCCGTCTTTTCGAAAACTTTTTACCTTCTACGCCAACAGAAGTAACCTTCGAGATCTCTATTAATCTCGCAAGAAGTTAAATGTGATTGTGCTGACTGTTTTATTTTTAGCTGAAAAAATTAACAGATAGAGTTATTTTTTAAGTCAGCCAGTCTGCATTTTTCCCACGCGTGAAAAATTCGCATACTAGAAAAACAAGCAACGGAAGTAATTCTGATTGGCTGATTCGGCAAATGTCAATCAATCAAAAAAGTGGGCGGCAGACATTTCGTTAAAGGTTTGTATCAGGCTCTCTTTTCGTTTCGCCTTGCCCGCCGGAATGTAATTTTCAAAGCGAAACGAAAATAGAGCCTGATCTCAGGTTAGCTATGAACAAAATCTTTATTTACGCACGCCCGTGCGTAAATAAGGTGACGTGAGCATTTTTTTTTACCTGGCTGTAAAGTTGTCGTCTTTTAAGCTGCAGTGCACTTTTCCTTCTCTTTAAAATATGGAAGAAACCAGCGAAGAACTGCACAATTTTTCTATCGGCATTGACCTTTTAGGTCCTGGTCCAACAAGCAGCAAAAATAAAGCCGAATGAAAAAAAAACTCGCAGGTTGCGCGTTTCGCAAATTTGTCGAAGACCAGCTGCAGCAAATATTTTGGCCGAAAGACATTCATTGGGAACAGAACAGACACCAACTGGTCATCAACAACATTTAAAGGCAAAATTTCCTTTTTTATTGTTGTTTTTAAATTTGTTATGCACTTTGTTAACTCCGGACAATCCGACCGAAGCAGGAAAATTTCTCTCACGATAACAACACAAATTACACAAGAAGATATAAATTTATTACTCACAAAAACAACTGCTGCCAGGTCTTCTCAAGAAGCCGTAATGACAAGCCAATGTTCGTAAATGAATATACGTTTAAAGAGGGATGACAGTCGTCTTCGCTAAAAACATGTTTTCTGGATTTCGCCGAGCAAAACGTAAACATCTTTTCAGCAAATCCAAACCATACTCCACGACTTCTCAGGAACATGTTAGTATTTTAACTATAGGTGAACTTTGAGACTCTTTTACCTTTGTTTCTGCTTAGTTTCCATTGATCATTAAAGAATAAAGAAGCAAATTTTCTTTCTCCCTTTTACAGAAAGAATATTTTCATTTAAACTAGACGATTGTGGCGTGTTCGTAATCAGCCAATAGAACCGTTTGTTATTGTGTCGCGCGTTACGAAAATTTTGCAGTTAATCAAAAAGCAAGCATTTTTGTCAGCTATGTTATAAAAGAATTTGCTCATGCTTTTAGCTGTGCGTATATCGAGTTATGGATGCACTTGGGAAGTTTGGAGAGCACTCAAGAAGCTAGAGTTGCACGAGGCGATCCAAACGTCCCGCGTGCATCCATAACTCGATAAACGCACGCTAAGCATGAACAAATTCTTAATTTTTATTAACAATTTAATCACCCATTTTTGAAATAACTTTTATAACTTATGTTGTAAATCATATTTCAAGGAGGCCAATTTGGAAGCGTTAGTTTTTTGAGGTTTCAGAAGTTATATTGAAATACAGTTTTCTAATACCTTAAGTCTGAAACAAGAAGTAGGCACTTGACAACTACTGACGTTCAATGTAGTATTATCCAACTGGTAATAGCCTGATATGCATAAGACAAGATATTCACGTCATTTAGAGTAAAAGTTTATACAGCCCAGAGGAGCTTCCACAAAAGAAACGCTTAAATATAGCTTGTTGCCATGTCAAATTCTCTAACTAAAGTTCATCCCAGTCTATGTTGGCCCCCTTTCACATGTAAGGCTCCCTGAAACCTTTAATATTAATTTCATAGTACAAGCTTACCTAGAGACAATTTCGGGCCGAGTGAATCATAAAGCGCAATTAGCACTGAAAAGAATAGCCGCTATAAAAATATTTTTTTATTATTTTTATTATATTATTATTAACTGAAAGGATAAGTCACACGGTTTCTAAAGGAATTAGACGACATTTTTTAGTCTTAATTTTAAGTGGAAAATCGTAAAAAAGTGCCCTGTCATTTCCTTTTTGTCGCTTGACTGAGTAACTGAGTATTGAAATGGGTCAACTTACGCGGATATTTTAGAAAGATTAGCACAGTACCAAACGATCACAAAATTGATTGAAATATAAGAATACAGTGAAACCTCGATATAACCTCTATATAACGAATTCTTCGGTATAATTAATTATTCCTCGAGCCCGAATGGTCTGTGACTCAGAAGCCATGAGGCGAGAGGAATAATTGTGTTAGTAAAATCCAACTAGTTGATAAAAAAATATCGAGGCAAAACAACTCTAGCAAGCAAAATGCGATTCAGCCGCCATTGTTTTAGTTCTTAAAGTCGGCACTTTCGCTAGTAGTGGGTTATAACACATAGCCTACTAATAGTAACTCAGCCAATCATAACGCAGCATTGATAATAGACCGCTGATTGGATTTTACTACCAAACGATATTCTTCGCACCAGTAATAGTAAAGCAAATGGGAAAGAACCTCGATTTAAACCTCGTCATGGTGAACAAAGTTTGCCAGTCCCAATTTGTTATATCGAGGTTGTTCCACTGTAGCTGCTCTGGATCAGTTGACAAAAAACACAAGAGAAGTACGGAGTCGAATTACGGAACGGCGCCTGTAGATCCGTGTCGCCTGCAAAATCGCGGGTCCCATGACTATTTGCGCGCTTACAAAGGAAGCCGACGCATGTCGCTCCCTTTGATTCAAGACTCAAGTGTTAGGGTATTGTTTCCACGATACAAAGGTAATTTAACTTAAGAAAATTAATAGATCGAAGCTTTGGCGCTACTCTCTGTTTTATAAGAAAATGCAAGCGCTCAACTTGATAAATATTTTGACTTCATAAGATATTTTAACGATTTAGGCCAGCAGGATGTATAGAATTCCGGAAAAACAATTCAGGAAGCCGAACGGTTTTGAAGTGCGCTACATGTTGTTTTTATCAGTATGCAAATCACCTACCCAAGCAGGTACTTTCCATTGAACTGAAATATCCTGACTTTTTTTACCACTTTTGGATTTGCTTCGTTTCATTTTATATTATTTTGTGCAAGCTGAGCTCTTTCATGCGAATTTACGCTTTCAAAAGGAAGAAAACTTCGAGGAAACGTGTTTACAACCACGGCAATTTGTATCTATTTCGCTTCACTTACGCTTATATGCAAATTACTGTTCATCCGCTGGATTTCGCTGGAGACAAAAATATCGATTTTGAATTCCCAAATGCTTGCCTTTTGGGGCACCGTTTTTATTTTGGCTATCAAGATTTTAAAAGCTAAGCTTCAGACTTTTCATTCCAACGTTTTAATGCGGGAAAGTTAGGAGAAATGCTGCAACTGATTAAAGTCACGTAACACGCTTTAAGACCGCATAACTTGATCTTTCTGTTATCTTTTGTTCCTCTATTGTCTCCAAAACAACAACGATGTTTCGCCAATTTCCACCTACAAATAATAGGACACATTTGATTGACAGAAAAATTTGCATTTACTAGCGACGCGTTTCTTCAGTTGAGACACTTTGCCTTAAAGGGGCTTTCTGACGCTTTACTGACTTCCAGGGGGGGAAATAAAGCTTTTACTCCCCCATCCCCTTCATGCAATGTTGTGCCGCTGTTCTAGCTACCTCTTGAAAACAACAAACACCACAACTTTGAATGAAGGAGAGTGGGGAGGGGGGAGCGGGTGTACATTCTTTTGTCCTCTGTGGTTATACCCTATTTGAGTACAATGTCTCAACAATTTTGTCGCCGATTGTAGCTTCATTTTTGGAAATGTCATTCCTACCGAAATTGTAGCAGTTTGACTGAAAAGTAGCCCGAAGAGTTAGTTTAAGCATCCAGTGCAATAACCCCAAAAACAAACTATAGAAGGAAAAGGAGAGCAGAAATAGACAGTGCGAGAGAAAGCAGTGTTTGTACTCTTAGCTTTTATGTTGGCTACGTGGGAGAAAATCATTTATTATCATTATTTATTTTTCACTTCACTCCTATGGCTACTTATGATTGCGTTTTCCCCTAATATAGTCCTTTAACGTCGCTTTTAGTGTTAAAAATCAGGCTCACCGGCTAAATCAAATACTCGCATTTCAGTTTCCACTGTATTTCAGTAGAGTGTAACGCAATGCCACTTGAATTCAATATACAAAAGTGAGCATATATAACGACAAAATTTATGATTTTGCAAAATTTTCAGATTTTCGCAACCTCAACAATTAATTTTTCGAAATACCTTGCGATTTTTCGAAAGCTTACCTTGTTTCGTCCAGGTAGTGGCTTCTTGAGTCTCACCTCGCGCGGCTTATGGTTGCTGTTCACTTGAAACCACTCTAAGGCATACAAAACCGATTTGCGCGTACTGCTTGCTGATGTACATTTACGCAATAGGCTGTCCGGGTAGTAGTAAGGCGGCACCCAATCCTTTCTTAACCACTTCACATTAGTGAAAATGAAGCAACGACGACGGCGACGGCTTTGAGAACGTCACTTAAAAAGTGAATTCACTCTACCTGGAATTTTTTCGCGCTTATTCCATCTCGTACAATTCGCCAAGTGCTGGCAATATCTTTTTTGGAGTTGAATTCTAAAGGACTGTATCAAAGTTCAGGAAAAAAAGTTATTGTCAAAGTTTTGTCTTTTGTTCCCGTCTGCGACAAAACGTAAAATTAGGAAGTTTCACATTGTAGTCGTGCAGCGACGGCAAAGAAATCATTTCAAAACTTCGCTTAAAACACAGTGCGAGAAACCGGTTGGGTGGTCAACCGTGGTGAACGCCTTGGCCTGGGCGCAACTTCCGCAGTATTTAATCGAGGAGGGATCTGTTGAGATGTTTGGGGTAGACACAGATCCTCGATGCACCAGATCTCTTTCTTGACACCACAATGTTATTAACCAAGGGCGTTGGCTAGTCTTCAGGCACGATGATGGTCTCATTCAATGTCTTGTCCAAATCGTCTTCCGTTTTTCCTTCGAGGCGGGTATAATCACCGGTTCAGCGTTAGGCTCAACCTCCTAGCCTGCGTAGCAGTCATTTCCGTTTCCCGTGAAGAGGGGCAAATACATGCAAAAGGCAAAAACGAGCAGAAATGTAGGATTGGGGAAGGAAAGGAAAGATGTCTGAGCATCGAAACGGCTATCGAAGATCAGTAATGATCGTCAGAGATTCTTACGCCAGAATAATAACACCTTTAACACCTTTAATAACTCTTTTAATTATTACCACAGTTATAAGCCCTTACACGTCAGCATAATGTAAAACGCCAGAAGATCTTAAGACTAAAAAAAGCTTTTACCACTGGCATTGTAAAAGTTATAAATAAACGGACAAAAAAGTAACTTATTTATCGGTAGTATTTGAAAATTGTATGTTCCATTTTCCGCCTGAAATGTTCGTGCAAAGTCCTCTTTGCATCGTATTCAGACTGCTAACCTTTAATGTAGCATGAGGCCAACTTGGGAACAACACGTATCGGGTAAGAGCAGCATTTCTGAATCAAAGGGGAATAAAAATATTTTCCACATCTGGCGCGAGGTTTGCATACTACAAACTTTGAGACAACCCTTCCATAGCAGCACCTCTGGCTCAGTGGGCTGTAGTACAAGAAGCCACATTTGAGGCGAATGCATCGTCGGAACTTTGAGATAACCCTTCCATAGCAGCACTTTTGGCTCAGTGGGTTGTAGTATACAAGGCCGCATTTAGGGCGAACGCATGGCTGGAACTTTGAGATAACCCTTCCATAGCAGCACTTTTGGCTCAGTGGGTTGTAGTATACAAGGCCGCATTTAGGGCGAACGCATGGCTGGAACTTTGAGATAACCCTTCCATAGCAGCACTTTTGGCTCAGTGGGTTGTAGTATACAAGGCCGCATTTAGGGCGAACGCATGGCTGGAACTTTGAGATAACCCTTCCATAGCAGCACTTTTGGCTCAGTGGGTTGTAGTATACAAGGCCGCATTTAGGGCGAACGCATGGCTGGAACTTTGAGATAACCCTTCCATAGCAGCACTTTTGGCTCAGTGGGTTGTAGTACAAAAAGCCACATTTGGGACGAACGCATGGCTGGAACTTGGAGACGACCCTTCCATAGCAGCACTTTTGGCTCAGTGGGTTGTAGTACAAAAAGCCACACTTGGGGCGAACGCATGGCTGGAACTTGGAGACGACCCTTCCATAGCAGCACTTTTGGCTCAGTGGGTTGTAGTATACAAGACCGCATTTGGGACGAATGCATGGCTGGAACTTGGAAATGACCCTTCCAAAGCAGCACTTTTGGCTCAGTGGGTTGTAGTACGAAAAACCACATTTGGGGCGAATGCATTGTCGGAACTTGGAGATAACAGTTCCATAGCAGCACTTTTGGCTCACTGGATTGAGCTTGCGACAACCCACGGGCACGGGCCAGGTTTCTTGCTGGGATTCCAAACCTGAAAGGGTAATTAAAATAGAAAGCTTTTAATTTTATATGCGTGATGCAAAGACTTGCCCAGTCGATCATCATACTTTGGCTATATATAAGTGTTTCATTCACAATTAGACAAAAGCGTTATTTTACATCATACGAAGAAGAGACAAAATTAGGGTTAAATAGGTGCCATAAGACGGGCGCAAAGAACTTTTAATCAACAAAACCTTGTTTTATGAATACGTGAACTTTCTTTAGGTATTTTCACTTAATTAATGACATTTAAACCGCGAACTGAGAGGTTTTATTTAAAGGCACTACAAATCGGCCTGCTCTTCTCTTTTGTTGAAGGTTTTACTATAAACTTAAATTTAAACTTTCAGTCTTTTTTAGTAATCTTTGAGTAATCTTTCCAGGCCAATTTCCATTAGAGAAAAGATTAAAGCTTTTAGTTACTGAAAGGAGCAACAGTCGGGCACTTTTTCCCTTGCTACAGATTGCAGGGTTGTAAGATGCGTCACGAACTATAGACCGATCTCGATTCTCCCTAGCTTTTCTAACTTTCTTGAAAAGGTTGTTTATAACCGTCTTTATAATTATTTAAGTAAACTAGAAGTTCTATGTGATAATCAATTTGGCTTCAGGAAAAATCCTTCAACTTCGTTAGCATTGATTGACCTATATGAAAAAATCTCCCTTGCTCTTGATCGTAATGAACATGCCGTTGGCGTTTTCCTTGATCTTTCTAAGGCCTTTAATACTGTCGATCATAATATTCTGCTTGACAAACTCGAACACTATGGTATACGTGGCGTGGCTCTGGACTGAGTTAGAAGCTACCTCTCCAACAGGTTGTAATTCGTTCAATTTAACGGTCAATGCTCCTCTCCTCAAACTATCTGCTGTGGTGTCCCCCAGTGATCCATTTTGGGCCCCTTGTTTTTTTGCTCTATATTAATGATTTAAATAACGTATCGACGCTCGTCGAGCTGATTTTATTCGCTGATGATACTAATTTATTTATGTCCCATAAAGATCCTGTCTACCTGGCAGCCTCACTCAATTCCGAACTTAATAAATTATCCACTTGGTTTAAGGCAAACAAACTCTCCTTAAACCTGAAGAAAACAAACTTTATGTTATTTAAGCCTAGACAGAAAAATAAAGGTATCATTTAAACGGTCTTCCTCGGAGTAGTCCTTGATGAACATCTGTCTTGGAAACTGCACATTTCTCAAGTAGCTCGTAAAATCTCGAAATTAATAGGTGTCATTAATAGAGCAAGATTTTTTTTACCTAAACCCTGTCTAAAAACTCTTTATTATTGTTTAGTTTCAGTCCTTATCTTCATTATTGTATTATTGTCTGGGGATCTACGTACAAGACCAATCTTCACCGTCTTGTCTCTTTGCAAAAGCGAGTTATCAGAATTATTTCTAAATCAACTTTCGATTCTCATTCAGACCCTATTTTCAAAGAATTAGAGCTACTAAAACTTTCCCATATTAGACAACTAGAATTGGGTAAACTTATGTTTTCTCTTAACCATTCTCTTTTGCCTTCAAAGTTCAACAATTATTTTTCTTTAAACAAACAAGTCCATAGCTATGCCACTAGACACGCGAACGATTTTCACCTTCTTTTTTGTAGCACAAACCTTCGTAAATTTCTTTCAGTTTCCAAGGACCTACTTATTATAACTCTATAGAAAATGATATTAAAGAATCTAATTCTCTCCACTTATTCAAAACGAAATTGAAAAAAAAATTATATACGAATTATTAGTTATAAATCTTGTAGTAAACAGTTATATTTCTTCAATAGTTTGATATTATTTTTATACTTTTTTTTACACGTACCATACCTTATATTTTGTCAACTCAGTCTATGTAATTAGTTAATTTATACTTACCTTCATTGTATTTTACTTTCGATCCTGGCCTTACTGTTACTGTTAATTTTATTTTTACTCTGAGGGAACCCAATGTCTATAAGCCTCATGGTTTCTTTTTGGGCTTCCTCGCCACTTTCATTTGCTTTTGTGTAACTGTCTTGTTTTATCGTTATTTGAATTTTGTGGTAAATCAAATAAAGTTACAAAGTTACACTGGCGACTGACATAGTGCTGGAAACAGCTGATCAAGAGATTTCGGAGTTACAATACCTTTGTAAAGAGAGTTTTGTTTGTCTTATTCGGGTTTGCCGTGAAACGATCACCAGGTTTGTACAATGCTAATTCTTCCGAAATGTTTCAGTTGTATTGCATACGAACGTGGCCAGATGTGCAAATGCCAGGATTATATATCTCCTGATCAAAACACAACTCCTAGCTGTCTTCTCTCGAGTACACAAAAACGTTCCTGTTGTTCATTATTACTTGTTCAATGTCATGATACCTGAATCACTTTCTTTTTTGGTGTCTTCCTCGTCAGCGGCATCACCTTCATCGGGATAATCTTCTTGTGTTTCTTCCTCTTCATAATCTTCGCTATCCTCTTCTGAAACAAAAAAAAGCTCACCGACTCCAATTTGAGCTGTTTGTCCTATCGTTGTGCCAATAATCTAAATAATGCAATTTCAGGGTGATTTTCTTCTTTCTACTGGCCCGTTGGCGAAGTTAATACCTACTCGTGTTTGGTACGCGCAAATTCCTTAATAGAGCGAGAGTCGTGCCGTGTATGGAATCTATATCTATTCCAATGCATGAACAGAAAACAGCTAAATAATCTCTCTCTTTAATTTTCTTGTTTAGCCAAACTAAGCTACAAAAGCTTCCAAAAGCTGTTCCACGGACTGGATAACAATATAATTATGAGCAGAACAATTTTTGACCCCTCAAAAAGCTATCACTACTAAAGACGAGAATTTTGCAATCAATTGGCAATGGGGTGAGCGAGACCGCTTTTACCTGTCAGTGGGTCGCTTTCCTCATCAGCTTCGGCTACTTCATCTTCAGGGATGTCTTCATCTTCCGGATATTCCTCTTGTTCTTCATCTTCTTCGTCTTGAGCATTTTCGTCTTCTGCATCTTCATCTTCAAATTCTTCATCTTCAGCATCTTCATCTCCGTCTTTTAGAGAAAAATTGTACCGTCGAATATTATTCTTACCTTAGTAAAAAAGTAGGACCGCTAATGGGCATAGCTGGGCAAGCACACCTCTATCACTGTTTTATACCTATCAATCCGTAGCTCATTGCCTTTAAGAAGATACCAGAAATTCACACAAAATTTACTCAAGTAAGTAAGTAAGCAATGATACGGAAATTTCAGTGAATCTTGTGAATCTAACGATTTCATGTATGTGCATCATTAGATTACTTTAATGGGTAATGTTCATGATAATTCTAACTAGACGCTCCTACCTTCGTCTGCTTCTTTAAGAGCGACAGCCGGCTTGTCTTCTTTTTCATCCTCTGCTGGAGTTGCAGCTACGTTTTCATCGTTGGTTTTAGGCGAGTTAAGAATACTTTCATCGGAAGCAACATTTTCGGACGTTTCTGCGTATATAACAGCAAAAACCGCGAGGAGGACGACAATTCCTTGAGCTACACGCTTCATTATTGCTCTCAAGTTTCGAATGCTACTGGTTCAGTGTATAACGCCTTTTATAACAAATTTAAGAGGAAAACTGTTTCAATATACGACTTTTGTTTCAGCGTGATGAATTAACTGCACAAGTGTCCACTTATTCAGATATTATATTGGAAAAAGAAACCTACGTAAATTGTATTTGTACCCCATTTTACACAATGGAAAGAAGAAGTAATAGTGGATTCACCTGAGTGATTACACTTTGTTTTACAAGCCTATTAAACTCACAAAAACTTTTGATTAACTCTAGGATTAGGGATTATTTGGAATCGAGCAAGCTTCATTCTAAACCATTCTACTTTTTTAAAAAAATTGATGAAGCTTTTTAGCTACCACTGAAACCGTTCTTCTGAGCTTTACACTTTGCTTTCTGATATCATTGAAAGGAATACTTAAATAACGACGCAAGGTAGGCGTCTTACTTCAGACGAAGATAATGTACTTCTTTTCGAGATCCCTTTCTTATCGATGAGGTGCTCGTCAGAAATACTGCACACTGAATTTTGTTCGTTTTCCTTGTTGTGTTGTGTATTGTAATGATAAAAAAAGAAGAACTAAATAAGCATATTTTCATTCTGCATCAGTATCTCCATTTTCGTTTTCCTCTGAGAGTATAAAAAAATCGGTACACTTAAAGCAAACATGCCGCCGGTAGAACTTTTCTTTCATTTAAATGGATTTCATGAAAATGCATCAAAAAAATTTTACGGTAGTAAAGTGGATTAAAAGTCGTAGTATAGTTGAGAACTAACAGGGCATGAAACAAAAGGAATAGATCAGAAATCAATAGTCCCGAGATTAAACTTGAGGTCGCATATATTAACGTGTACAAATTTAAACAAATTAAATCAAAACCAGAAAAGAAACGTAAAAGTAGAAACATGTTGAGCAAAACAGAATGTATGACTCACAATTTTGGGCTCAGTTTACAAATTATTTTGATTAGAGTGGAAGTATCAATGTATCTTCAAAAATAACACAAAGAAATGTGCGGAGTATTTAATTTAATTGAGAGTCAGCGTTTTCACTCACGTGGCCGGTGTCTATGCAAATTTATTGGAACAAAAGAGAGCGTTTTCATAAGAAAAGAGTTCAACTCCCAGAGGATTGGTTTGGCACACCAACATGGTCGCCGTATTATTGTTTTGGAAAACCAATATGGCCGCCGTGACGTCATGTGGAAACACTGTATTCTTTGCAAGATGTCGGAAATGGAAAGGTTCATTCCACAACTTTGGTCGAAAGAGAGAAAAAACGTTTATTCAATTCAAGTGGGAACGTTTGACAACAAAAATCCTGAAGTAGATACTCTATAGTTGTAAGAGTGACAAAGCTTGTTTCTTCTGATACATTTAGAACGTTAACTAGTACAGTTCTGTTAAAGAGGTCATGCATAACATTAGATATAGGATGCTCACAGTATAAGTT